AAGTGGAGTTCTTTGCATTTGTCCTTATTGAATTTCATCCTGTTTCCTTCAAACCATTTCTCCAGTTTGTCCAGATCATTTTGAATTATAATCCTATCCTCCAAAGCACTTGCAACCCCTCCCAGTTTGGTATCGTCTACAAACTTCATAAGTGTAATCTCTATGCCATTATCTAAATCATTGATGAAGATATTGAACAGAACCGGACCCAGAACTGGTCCCTGCGTGACCCCACTCATTATGCCCTTCCAGCATGACTGTGAACCACTGATAACAACACTCTGGGAACGGTTTTCTAACCAGTTATGTACCCACCTTATAGTATCTCCATCTAGGTTGCATTTCCCTAATTTATTTATGAGAAGGCCATGTGAGACAGTATCAAAAGCTTTACTAAAGTCAAGATATACAACATCTACTGCTTCCCCCCTATCCACAAGGCTTGCCCTCAGTTATGCTATTAGCCCTTCCAAGTCTGTGTCCTAGGGTCATAGAGTCTGCCACTCCATGACCTCTAGTGATGAGAGAACTGACTGAGATAAAATATAAAGTGATCTGAACCTCCAGACAATTTGAGGTTTACCTTTAAATTAAGTAAATAAATGGAGATATCCTATCTCCTAGAACTGGAAGGGACCTTGAAAGGTCATTGAGTCCAGCCCCCTGCCTTCACTAGCAGGACCAAGTACTGATTTTGCCCCAGATCCCTAAGTGGCCCCCTCAAGGATTGAGCTCACAACCCTGGGTTTAGCAGGCCAGTGCTCAAACCACTGAGCTATCCCTCCCCCCACTATGCACAACTTTGAACAATAGCAAAACTCATCTTTATGATCCCTGCTCCTACCCCAAAGTTCCTGTCTAGGGTGCAGAAATATTTTTCAGAGAGAATAATTTGTAACCACCAAATCGTATTTCTGCAATATGCCCCATGTAGACTAGTGCGATCACACTCCAGCTAACATAGAATGTTGATCAGTTGAGCATTTTTTACTCTGGAACTTACTGTGCCAGTTTTCCAAAGACTACTCTGCTGGCTTTCTGTTCAGTGTATTCCACTGAAACAAAACAGATTGTACCTCTACATGCTTTGAATCCTGGCTATCCAAGAGACACCTCTCTCAATGCACTAGTGTGACAGTTGAGACTGGATTCTGCTGTAAAGTCCATTTATTGACTCATACCTTTACCCAACATTTGGATAGTCCTCTCTTCTAGAGCGGAAATATTGTTTTACTTGTATTACTTGAACTGTGTCCAGAGACCCTGTGGTGGGTGTTACATTAATCACACTAAAATGTTTCCTTGTGTAGGCGAAAGCCCAGAGCAAGCAGCAGAAAGAGCAGCTGGAACGTTTGCAGAAAGACATGGGCTCTGTGGCTATGGAGAGCAACCCACTTGCAGGTAATGAAAGGGTTTTGTGTGGTGGAGTAATTTAACTTCAGAAGAGTCTCTGTAGAGTTTGCCTTGAAAATTTTCTGAAGCTTTTCTCTCTTCCACAAAAGTATAAAGCAACTTAGTCCCAGTGAAGGGCACAGACCATTTCCCTGTCTCATCTTCTATGCCAGTGGTTCTCAAACTTTATTTTCCGTGGACCACTTGAAAATTGCCGAGGGTCTCGGCAGACCACTTAATGATCTTTCCAAATGTTGTTTGTACTGTTAGCTAACTATTGTAAAGCGCTTTGGGTAAAAGTGCTATATTAAAAAAACCTTAATAATAATTAACATTTTTTGTTCTACAAATAAAAGCACACAACTCATATTTAATATCAATAGTCTTACCTTTCCAATGCGATGGGTGTGCCCTCTCTCCGCCCCCAACAGCAGCCACAGAGCTGAGGTGGGAAGGAGGGCTGTCTCTCCCTGGCAGCCGCAGCCCTGGAGCTGGGGAAAGTCGCCTCTTTCTCTGGCCGCCGCAAGCCTGCACATTCCAAATTCCTGCACATCCCAAATTCCCCCACCCCCTCTTCTCACCCCACTGTCCCTCCCACCTACACCCTATTCCCCCAAGGCCACCACCTCACCTTACATGTGCATCTTCTCCAGGGTCCAGGCACCTAATTAGTGGAGCCAGGCCTGCACAGCTCCACTAATTAGGTGGGTGTCCCTTCATTCTCCACCCAGGCGCACACCTTAGAGGGAACTATCTGCGGACCACCTGAATGGAGCTCTCAGACCACTGGTGGTCCACAGACCACAGTTTGAGAACCTCTGTTCTATGCGTTAGCCCCAGCAGAAGATCAGGGAAAGAAGAAACCCTGGTGCCTAGCCGATAGGAGAGTGGGCATGCTAGAAATAAATAGATTGCGTTGATAAAACATTCCAGGCAGGGTGACATAGCAATTAAATTGGCATCCAACAAGAATTCAACAATATGGGTGGGGCTGTAATCTGTGGGGTTCTATAGGGAACATGCTACTGTGTAGCATCTCACATTCTAGCGCATGTATTTGTGTCTATGGGGACCATGGGGTGTGGTCCATACTTGTAGGGTAGGTACCAGTAGCTGTGGTTGCTCTGTGCAGATGCTTACGTTATGAAATATTAGGGAATTAGGTTGTTGTCAGTATGAGACTGTTTTTAGAAGCTTCTATTTCTCACTAGATTCTTCTGACACTTCTGCATTGGGTCCCTCTGACTTGATCATGACACGAGGAACTTTGGATGAGGAAGATGAAGAGAGAGAGAGTGATACTGATGATATTGACCATCAAGGTAAGGGAAAGCGAGTCTGCCTGTGGCTTGGAATTACACAACATGCCCCTTGAGAGGGGAGATCAGAGGTCAAGTGCATGGCTGTTATGGTAAGTGAGAGAGCTGATTCAGGGTTGAAGGCCAAATGAGGTGGGAGGCGAGGGAGACAGGTCATCAGTGTAGCCATTAGAGATACTGAGGGTGGGAAATTGTGAAGAGAGCAAGAGCGAGAGCTATGAATCCAAAATTGGAGAGGAAGGTGAACGGGTCAGAGTCAGGGAGAGGCAGGTAACTGTGATGTGGAAGAGGGGAGTCAGATGGAGTCATTCTTCAAAAGAATGGGGTGAAGGAGGACAGGTTGGAAATGACAAGAGTGGAAGAGAAACCTGTGCCCACCGTGTTTTCTGCACCTCTGTTTCCCCTCAGTAGTCCATCAAGGACACGTAACTCTCATGCTTCCAGCTCTCCAGCAATTGCCTTTCTCGAGCACTCCCTTTCGACTCCGGTATTCCCACGCTGCACAGTTCCCTGCCTTCACTGTATTATTCCCAGCAGAGGCAGGCTGCCCAAGCACAACTGCATGCTTTCTCTTCAGACATGAAAAACAGTGCGACTGTCCACAGTTATCGTTAGTTACAGCACAGCTCTTTTTATGCAAGCCCATTTTATTCTTAAGGTAAAAACACTACAAAGGAAAACACATTAAAAACAGTAAAGAACCTACACAGTTGCTAATAAGCTTACCAGAGATCACCCCAACCCTAACATGGGCTCTGGCAGGAGCAGTCCTTCAACAGCCCATCTAAGGGATTTCCTTGTGGATTCATGTTCATCACAGCTCCAGCATAGACCAAGCACATGGTCTTATGCGTCCTCAGTAGGCCTAGTCCTTCCAATCCTTCCCTAAGGATTAGGGCCCTTTGTGGACTTGGGATCCTGTATGTTTGCTGGATCAGAAAGGTGGCCCAGAGTTTATTTAAAACCAGGGTATTTATTCAAAAATCCTTTTTGTCTGTTGGTCCATGGAGAATCCTGGACTTTAGCAAAGCTTTTGATACGGTCTCCCACAGTATTCTTGCGAACAAGTTAAAGAAGTATGGGCCGGATGAATGGACTATAAGGTGGATAGAAAGCTGGCTAGATCATCGGGCTCAACGGGTAGTGATCAATGGGTCCATGTCTAGTTGGCAGCCGGTATCAAGCGGAGTGCCCCAAGGGTTGGTCCTGGGGCCGGTTTAGTTCAATATCTTCAGTAATGATCTGGAGGATGGCGTGGATTGCACCCTCAGCAAGTTTGCAGATGACACTAAACTGGGAGGAGTGGTCGATACGCTGGAGGGTAGGGGCAGGATACAGAGGGACCTAGACAAATTAGAGGATTGGGCCAAAAGAAACCTGATGAGGTTCAACAAGGACAAGTGCAGAGTCCTGCACTTAGGAAGGAAGAATCCCATGCACTGCTACAGACTAGGGACTGAGTGGCTAGGCAGCAGTTCTGCAGAAAAGGACCTAGGGGTTACGGTGGACAAGAAGTTGGATATGAGTCAACAGTGTGCCCTTGTTGCCAAGAAGGCTAACGGCATTTTGGGCTGTATAAGTAGGAGCATTGCCAGCAGATAGAGGGACGTGATCATTCCACTCTATTCGGCATTGATGAGGCCTCATCTGGAGTACTGTGTCCAGTTTTGGGCCCCACACTACAAGAAGGATGTGGAAAAATTGGAAAGAGTCCAGCAGAGGGCAACAAAAATGATTAGGGGGCTGGAGCACATGACTTATGAGGAGAGGATGAAGGAACTGGGATTATTTAGTCTGCAGAAGAGAAGAATGAGGGGGGATTTGATAGCTGCTTTCAGCTACCTGAAAGGGGGTTCCAAAGAGGATGGATCTAGACTGTTCTCAGTGGTAGCAGATGACAGAACAAGGAGTTATGGTCTCAAGTTGCAGGGGGGGAGGTTTAGGTTGGATATTAGGAAAAACTTTTTCACTAGGAGGGTGGTGAAGCACTGGAATGAGTTACCTAGGGAGGTGGTGGAATCTCCTTCCTTAGAGGTTTTTAAGGTCAGGCTTGACAAAGCCCTGGCTGGGTTGATTTAGTTGGGAATTGGTCCTGCTTTGAGCAGGGGGTTGGACTAGATGACCTCCTGAGGTCCCTCCCAACCCTGATATTCTATGATTCTATGAACTAATATATGTGAACCTTTCCAGGGGATGGCGTCAAAGGGGCTGGTAACTGGAGGAATTACATTAGATTAGCATCCCCCTCCTTTGACGGGAGTTGCATAGAAGCTTGAGGGTAGAAGATGAGAGAAGAAGGCAGCAGGAGCTGTGTCTGAAGGGAATCTGAGTTTCTGAGAGCACGATGGGTTGGAGGGAGAAGGATGATACCAAACTGGGAGGGATTGCAACTGCTTTGGAGGACAGGG